CCCTCCCTCCCTCCCTCCCTCCCTCCTCTCTCTCTCTCTCTCTCTCTCTTGTATAGGCTGCCCCAATCTGTCACAATTCTGGGGAGCTTATAAAATAAGACAGTAAAAACGAGAACATGCATAACCTTAAAAAAAAAAAAAAGGCCACAGAAGCCAATAACACATTACAAGGGACCATCACCCACTCTAACCTATAGCCTGGGGGAAGAGACAGGTTTTAAAGGTTTGTTTAAATAGGTCCAGGATTGGAACCATATGAATCTTGGGGGTGAGGGATGATGTTTCAGAGAGCAGGCACCATGACAAAAATGGCCTGCTTCCTGGTTCCCACCACATGGGACCTGGAGCATGCCAACCTACATCAGAATGTGTGGGGTGGACAGAAACCACTGGAAATAGGCTGACATTCAGATAGCCAAGCCCTATGCCATGAAGGGCTTTATAAGTAATAAATTGCACCCAGGAGCTTACTGGTAACTACTGCACCTTACGATGCAGAAGTGCTACCTGGACATATGATGGCATGCCCTTAACTGCCCATGTACTAGATTCCAAGTGATCTTCAAGGGCACACTGCAGTTGTCCAAACATCAGGTGACCAAAGCATGAATGACTGACTTAAGGGGCTTCAGATCCACGGATGGGCATAACTGACAGACTAAATTAATTTGTGTGAAAGCCTTCTTGACCACAGCCACTGCCTGCTATTCAAGCAGAAGCTGTGAGTCCAGAAAGACCCCAAAATTGTGCACTAATCCTGAAAAGAATAGTGCAATCCCATTCAGGAACATGATCGATGATACTGAAAGCTGCTAAGAGATCACATAGAACCAGGGTGGCTGCACTATCCCTGCCTTGGCTCTGCCAAAGATCATCAACAAGCCTGACCAATGCTTCTCAGTACTATGCCCTGAAATCAGATTGAAGATGGTCTAGATAATCTGTATTTTCCAAAATCCTCTGAAGCTGTAACCCAACCCTTCCCTCAACAACCTTCCCAGAAAGGGAAGATTGAAGACTGGACAAAAATTGTCCAAAGCAGTCAGGTATCCTATTTCAATGCAGGAGGCACTACCCCCTCTATCAAAGAAACAGATATTATTGCATGGACCCAACTGCATATCACCTCCCAGGAGGACTTTATCAGCCAGGAGGAGCATAGATCTAATATAGAGGTGGCTGTCATCTCCACAGAACTTGGCCTCCAACTCCAAGCAAATCCAAGCAACTTTATCCACCAGGTGCTTAAAATGCTCCTCACAATGGCTTATTAAATAATCCTGCATTTTGCTCCTCCCTAGCAAGGAACGAGTCACAGTAAAAAGGCCCACTGGGCAGCTCTTTGTGGATGTGATAAAGGTGGAGAAATAATTACATTTCACTGCACCCCTGATAAAATTAAGCCTGCAAGAAATTATTTCATCCAAGGAACACAGGAGAAAACAAGGGCTCTTTTTCCATGTTGAACTTCCAACTTCTAGTACCCATCAGATGCAATGATGTTTGGAGCAAGGTTAGGCTTATATATTCAGGCTGTAGTCTATATGCACAGTGAGGCTGATGTTATTTCCCTTGATTCAAAATATAACTCTGTGAACAAGTGCTAAGTAAGTTAGTTTTATTTGTATTACTCACCAGTCTAAATATATGAATGTCCTGAGACCTGGTTACCAGATGTGCATTTTTAGCTGTACACGTGGCTGTTTCCAGTTTATCCCCTGTAAGCATCCATACCTACAATAAAAAAAATCATAACCTCACATGAATAGTAACAAAGAGCCAGTATATTGCAGTGGCTTGCTTTCGACCAATCTCCCTGGAGACTCAGATTCAAGTTCCCACTCAACCTCAGAGCTCTGGGTGACTTTGTGTGGATCACTTTCTCTCAAGCCACCTTATAAGGCTGATGTTCTGGGGATAAAATTAGAGGAAGCCCACATTTAAACCACATTCAACTCTCAAGGGAAAGGCAAGTTGCATTAAATGTAATAAATAAATAATGGTAAATGATAAAAAGGCACTTAATAAATGTTTAGCTTGTAGGGAAGTTAATATAATATTAGATATTTGGAAGCCAACATGGTGTAGTGGTTAAGATCAGGATCCTGGAGACTCAGGTTTGTCTATCTTCAGCTATGGAAGCTCACAGGGTGACCTTAGGCCAATCATTCTCTCTCAACTCAACCTACCTCACAGCATTATTGTTGTGGGGAAAACATGAAGGAGGAAATACTAGATATGCTGCCTTGGGCTCCTGAAAGAAAGATGGAATATAAATCTAACAAATCAATCAATTGATCTAATTAGTAAAGTTGATGATATAAAAATACAAAAATCCCCTTTGATTCAAGAGATTGATGACTTCCTGTGGACATACCCATGTGTTTTTCTTGGCACTAGATGGGAGACCATTAGGAATTGTCAGGGAGATAATCTAGAAGTAAAATTAAAATTTTAATAATTTCAGGAAGAAGTTGATGGCAACTTATTTCACACTGTTGCCAAGAAAACAAGAAGTAAATACAAGAATGCAGGAGAGTAAGGGGGAAATAAATCTAATCACATTCTTCTGCATTATACTAATCCATTTGAGCAAACAGTCCTGAAATAAAGACCAATAAAGATCACAATCATGCCGGCAATGGTTTTCCTTATGATACTCTAGGGAAGCAAATGCTGGAGCTTGAAGAAGCAGGCTGGAAAGAGTATTGACACTTTTGAACTTTGGTGTTGGAGAAAACTCCTATGGATAGCCAAGAAAACAAACAAATGATCATACAACAAATCCAGGCACAATTGATCAGTTTCAAATTACCTTATTTTGGACACATTATGCAAAGACCTAGCTCTATGGAGAAATCTATAATGGTGGGAAAGATGGAAGGAAAGGGAAGAAGAGTATGACCAAAAGGAAGATGGATGGACAATGGGTACACCATTGGAAGACATGAAGGACCAGTTTGTCCTGGAGAAAAATTATGTGGTCACTAAGAAATGACATCAACTTGATCCACATAGTCAAAAAGATTTATTTGAATCTTCAGCTGAACTACACAGTATACAGAGTTATATGGTAAAACTACTTCAGGCTTCATAGGTGAATGCAAAATTCCCGAAATCTCTTCCATGTTAAAAAATGTCTGCTATAAGCACATCAGCCAGAGATAAAACTAATGTTAAGTGTTTAATTTATTATATGAAAGGAGCCTCTAATACAGATATGACTCTAAAGCAAAACCAAAATTCTTATAGCTGAAAGAGCCATAAGCAAAAATTCCACCACCACATTCAACAGCAAAGATAAATCAGTGGGTCTCTGCTGTGGAGTTGTCACAACTGTCTTATAACGTGAAGAACCTTCACTTTTCTGGGAACAATTTACATCCATGCAAAATGTATAGCTGGGTATCACAGTAATAAGTTCTGTACCTGTTTTCAAGCCCATGGATATCTGTCAAACTTTACAAAAGAAATGGCAGCTTATTTATTTTAGGCATAAAAGCCTATCATGATAACGACGTGTGAATCTGCTTTCATATCTACTGTAAGCCCTGACTTGCATTCTACATCATCAATCCTGAGAAATTTTTAAAATCCTATTTAGCATCTAACCTACTAATACTGAAAGATAATGGAGAAATGGTTCTCCAGTGTAATTTGGAGCAGAACCCCCCGATGTGCTATAGTTTTTTCTAACTATTAGACATGTAGGCACTGTAAAAACAGATGGAAGGGACTTACACCTTTATAGTAATTACGTTACATCTTGAGTCTATGTCTTCTTCTGGATACCACATTTTAAGGAGCAGTCAGACAAACTAGAACAGGTGCAAATCTGGAAGTTAAGTCCTATGACAAAGGTATATAACTTCTGAAGGGCCTCACCATGCTTTGCATGTTAAAGAGGATTAGGTTAGGAACCGCCAGAGTGAAGAAATTATGCGGTGAAATGCTATCCATAAGGATCTCCTAGCATCAGTTAGGTGTGGTCAAGCAGAGTCTGGACAGCCATCTGTTAGGAATGCTTAAAATATAATTGAAATCCTGCACTGAGCAGGGGTTTAGGCATGATGTCCTCAATGGTCTCTTCAAATTCCATCATTCTTTAAAGCTTTTATAAACGCATCTGACAAAAGCAATTTTAGCAATTATGTATTTCAAATAAATTACATGGAATTTTGAAGTGACTGTTAGAAAACAGGGGCCTTTTTATACAATACTGGGAACTGAGAGATATATTTTGCAAAAACATGAGTCAGTCCTGCCCATTTTTGAAGATGGAAGCAGAAACTGTAGCTAAGACCGTTGGCACCAATAATACAATAATGGGTGTTCTATAAAGGCAGCTTTAAACTACTCCATGTGGCAGCTGTCTCAGTGCAACAGGCTGTTTGTGTGTAGAAGATGCAACAAGAAAGGCCTGTGGTGACATGAAGAAAATTGCCACATCCACAGAGTGAGTCACTGCACATCATGAGAAGACAGTAACCATGTGGACAACTTCATAGGGACTTTCATGCAACAGCCAAAATCTATACACAGGCCTCTAATTAAGCTTTTTAATCATCAGTGGAATCAAATAGACTCGGCCTGTTTTGCACATTGCACAATGTAACATTTTTGCTGCTGTTGGGAAATACACCTTATGGAATGGACACCAGTGATATGGTATATAATCATGTAACCTGTCATAAATTTTACCATAAATTCTGCTACACATTTTGTTTTACATTGCTAGTTGTAAATTGCAAATCTCTCTTTGACATTTATGACAATTCCATGGTGTAGTGGGAAGGGTACAGTGCTTTGGAGTCAAGGATAAAAAGATGCGTTGGAACATGCGGGAGCATCATGCCTGATGTCAAGTCTTTAAAGCAGCTGTGCCTTTCCTAAGATACCTAGTCTATTTTGGGATAAGAGACTTCACACTGGGAAGTGTTATGACTGATATGGACAGGAATTGAACACTTTCCACAGGCGAAGCCAAAAGCTTAGGAAGCATTTCTAAGTGGCACAAACGTGACCTTGGGTGTTTCTCTACATTTTGCATTTTATATCTACCCTCCTTTTTTCCCCCAAAGCTCAGGTCTTGGCCTTAATGGAAAACTGTAAAATAAGCATAAACTTCATGGTGCCATTCTTTCCAAACTTGTTTCTTTGGACAAAAATCCAAAGTCCCACGGTTTCAGATAGGCATTCTATATATCATACAGGGCTTCATGTTAGCCAGAAGGAAACACTTTTCAGTACTTTCTTTATACCATATGCACAGAATTTTGTACAAGATTGTCAGCATTATCAACCAAACTGGACTATCGTGAAATTGTGGCATTCAGCTGAACTACATGTTACTCAGGATGAGGTATTGTCTATAATGTACTCTTATATAAACAAATACTAATGCACAACTATCAGAGTTTAGGATTTCTCACATGTATTAAAAAAAAAACCAAACTTGGCCCTTTACATGGGAGTATATTTAAAAAATAAACATAATCTCCTTGTAGGTTTAAGTAGTAACCCAGAATTCTATCGTTCCCATCTTATATCTTATTTTCTGTAATGCTTCACATGGATTTTAGGCACTATCTTATGGGTTGAAAAACTAGTTTTCAGGATGAGAAATATCTATCACCACAGGAAGTTCTGAGATGTTCACCTTTAGGGGTGTAAGTGTCTTAGAGCCTAATTATGGTATGAATCTGTCCAGATACAAAGGCCAGACAGATATCATAGTTATGATCTGAAGGCTTGTTTGTCGGATATGTGGGGATAGGCTACCTATGGTGTGATTCCTAAGCTATAGAACATTTTCCAACATGACTGCTCTCTGGGTAGATGGACTCCTACTCTCAGCCATTCTGGGAGTCCACACAGCTGGAGAATGTCCCTATTAACAATCTCTACTATAAAACTATACAGAGGATAAAGATAAAATCTCCTTCCATTTGAGTTTGACTCTTTTTGACTTCATGAAACATCCTTGAACTTTTCTTGGCAATGATATGGATGTGTTTTGCTGTTGCCTTCTTCTGAGATATTGTTCTTCTTTTACCTCCCAATCTAGCCTTCAGCTAGTTTTTCCTGGGAATCTCCCATTCAGATACTAACCAGGTCTGACCCAGCTTAGTTTTTAAAAATCAGCCAAGGTCAGCTAGGTGCTGCCATCTAGCTGAGGATATAAAGGATATTTATTTTTTTAGATAAATAAAATGCATTTCCTTGGAAGTTGTACTTGGCTGTCACTCTCTCTGCCTTTTAGAAAGGAGATCTGCCTCTGAAGAAACATTCTTGATGGAACTGATGACAGTTTCAGTGGCTGTTTGCGTATCTTAAGCAGGTTTAATTATTTTATATTGTTTTTACATATATTTGCCTGGCAGTTGTCCCACTCTTGTCTGACTCTACCCTGGAAAAGTGTGAGACAAAAGTCTCATCAGCAGCAGCATCCAGAGTGGTGGGAAGCCTCTATAGGTCCACCTTTGTCAAATCCCTCAGTTGTGCTGTTTCCAACCAGAAAATAATGTAGTTTTAGTGGAACATTCTGCTCTGAGAAATTAGTATGTTAATTGAAGGGGAAATGCTGTTCTTCCACCAAAGATTGTTGCAATATCACACCAGAATCCTGAGATGTGACTCTGTAAACAGTGTAGGTACTTAACTGATAGTGCTTTATATACTAATAGCATTATTAAAGGCACTCCTAATGATGTGGAATGCTACATTCCACTTCCTCTCATTATACTGCTCTCATGCTTATTCATCCGTATACTTGTCAGACTGGGGAAAAAACAGTAAATCTTACACTTTCGGTTTCTCATTCAATCATACCTTAATGCCAGCATTTTTCAGAGTTTCCAGGGTTGGCCTGACATCCACCTGTAGCTGATCTTCTACTCCAGTCAGACAGAGCAGCTCCATCTCCATCTCCAGACTCTCGATTACAGTGGCTACCTTCAGGGAACGATCGTGGACGCTTAATTTTGCTTGGACATAGCGGGCCTAAGGAAGATCACAAGAGATACACCCCTTCACTACTTGTTCGTTCACTAGATATTTACATCAAAGCAAAGTACATGCATAAGAAGAAGCAGGCCAAATTTCCCAAAGGCCAGCAGCAATGCCTCCCACCTCTATTTTTAAAGCAGCCAGATTGCACTATTCGGTTTTGGCAGCAGAAAGTTAAAATTCAGCAGCGTAATTTTTGGTCGTCAGGGAAAAAAGCACGATAAACACGGGAGACAGACACACCATAACATAAGTCACTTCAAAGTTCTAAAAGCTTTATTGAAAAAAGCACGATAAACACGGGAGACAGACACACCATAACATAAGTCACTTCAAAGTTCTAAAAGCTTTATTGAAAAAAGCACGATAAACACGGGAGACAGACACACCATAACATAAGTCACTTCAAAGTTCTAAAAGCTTTATTAAATGTTAGTTCAATAAGCAAGTAAAATTCGACCAATAGTATATAAGGTAGTTACTTAGATTCACATTGCAATGCAGACCAACAAGAA